TTACTAAAAGTAGAGTATCTTCTACTCTTAATATTTTGTTAGTTTTAATACAAAAACCAAGCAAAAATACCAAGCAAAAATACCAGGAATCTAGCAATCCTAGTCCTAATCAAGAAGGTATAGCGGCTTATATTATCTTATTTCTCTTTTAGGTACATTTGCTTCAAGTTTGGCAGTTTTTCTAGTGCCTATACTGGTTAGTCTAACAAAAAACGAGCTTGGCAACGATTTCAACTCAAAACCTCCTGTCTCCCATAAACTTTTCCCAGAAAGAGTTCGAGCTGATCAGGGCCTTTAAGTTGTTACTATACTATACTACTCTAAACTTGGATAGCTTATTTTTTCTCCCGTTGGTGCTCTGGTAGACGCGATACAACGACCGTTTGGGGCATAGTTTCCTGAGTTGGTGGGAAGATGGACATGAAGCGAAAGTAGAGGTAGTGTTTATAGACAGCGATGACACAGTGTGTGTGTGTGAAAGATGAGAAGAGATGGCAGTGGTATCCTCGGGTTGATTCCCGAGTCGGTTGTTCTGCCTGAGCCGGTTTGGTCGGTCGTCATCAGCTACAATAATTCCTTCCTCTGCTTCCATTCATCATTGTCTGTTTGGGTAGAGGTAGTAACGATGGGAGGTTGAGATCTCCCCACTGATCAACACCTCGAAACATCGGCGGCGGTGGATGGTGGTGGTTGTACGTGTAGTGTACCGTTGTGCCACGAGCTGGGCTTGAGTGCTTGGGCTGCCAAAGTGGTCACGATGCAAGTGAGTTGGCCGGATATTAAACTCGTTTATATGTTTCCAAGGTATATCTTGAGAGAAGTTCACTTTCTTTAACATTAGCGTCCTGTGGAAAAGGTGTAAAATTGAATGTGGAAGTGACAAAAGTTTCGCGGGTTCGGGTTGACCATGCACAGTTTGGGGCCGGCCCACAGGGGTACCTCGAGCTGGAGCCCAATGATGATGGACGCTTGGACCCCCGGCGGATCGGCCCTGCTTTTTGTTAGACAACCCCGACCGTTCTCCCGTCTCCCGCCGTCATGGGTAGAGGTAAGCCTGGTAAGGCATGAAGAGATGAGCGGTAGCTCGAACCAAAACGATTTCTGGTTTTCAACTGGAACTTCTGCCCTGCGAAGGTAAGCTTCAGCACTCGATGTCTTCATCTGACCCCGGGAGTATTGGGGGGGTTTTGGGGGGCACGGTGACGGAATCCCATTCGTGTGAATCTGGCGGTTCTTCTCCAGGCCCGCTTTGATTTGTGGCTGTTGGTGGACCCCAGGGATGGAAGAGCCCCATGTCACGCACTCCCATTTATAATCGTAAACTGTCGGGTGTGCATGCCCCATGCTCGTTCCCAAACTCATATGAACAAAGCTGATGCATTCTAGATGAAAACGAAGATCGGAATTGATGTTTGCAAGACGAGAAAAGCGAAAGGGTTCATCTCCAAGAGCAAATGCGAGATCCAAGTGCATCTTGCTGCGCACCTAGTGTAGATTGAAGACTGTCACCTTCTTGCGCCCTTCCACCCCACCGCCGACTCGCAAAACCTTGTTGGCGCAGATCATGAAGAAGGCCGGGCGTTGGGGCCATCCAGGAGCTAGGCTTGGGGGCTGCCAGGGCAGAGCCAAAATGAGGGTGATGATGATGATGATGATGACCACGTTGGAAGCTTCAACTCAAGATCCCCAAGTGACGATGAGAGATTTTGCTCCTTTGTTTCTGCTGCATCTATACCTGGTAGGTAGGGAAGAAAGAGATCTTTACACAATAGCGGGTTCTCAGATTCCCGCATCAAAGAGCGGCAAGACGCCATGCGCTTGGCGCTGTTGTCAAAGCTCCAATAGGTTTAGAGGTATCTCCATCTACGGTAGTGAGAGCCCGGTTGCGCCGAGTTGGATGGATTTTGAGTAAAAGTCGCAGTGTGCCTAGCGATGCTCGTAGTCCGTAGCACAAGCTGAGAATATCTTGTGCACCTACCTAGGTAATGGTCGAAGGCACTGCATTTACCTACAGAGCCTACCTACGTTGCGAGGTGCCGGGGTGAGGATGCGACGCCGATCTTGGGGAGATCTTCCTACGAAGGACAGACCGTTTTTAATGACCGTTATTATGCCCAGAACACCATCGCTGGCAGACCTAGGCCACCTTGAAAGTTTGTTCCAGGATCTGGTTCATATAAGGTGAGTGAGCATACTATATGTCCATAAAGTCGGTACATGGATTGGCGAAACCAAACATGTCTTGACAACGAGGTGTGCACTTGGCCAGACGTTGTCGCTACCTACAACATGTACGGGCAACGAGAAAGAAGCCCAGGATGAATGTGCGGGCCGGCTCCTCTGCCAAGGTGCCTGAATTCTGAAATCTCCAAGTACAGTGCACAGTGTTGACATCGGTGCTCCTTGATTGGATAATAGAGCAGAAATAGTGGATCCCCGGCGGACAACCAACTCGAGGTGGATGGGCGGATTCGCAGCAGAAGGGGCTTCGTTGCAGCGCAACGCGGCGGGCAGTCTGAGGTGACGACAAACCTGCCTGGCGGCCCTGCCCTGACCTGGGCACCTGGGGGCTCCTGCAAAGGGACCTGTCCGCTGCCCTGGGACCCGACTCCTAGTCGTCGCATGCCCGCCTTGAGGTTCTTCCCGTCCTTTCCATCCTCTTTTCCCTCTCTACCTCTAGCCCCAGGGCAGACAGGCCACCCCCCCTTCCCGTCTACTTTCACGGCTCTTCCCTCCGCAACCAAACCTGGAGCACATCCACCCAACATCATCCTGGTTTTTCCCTTTTGACACTCCCACCTCTCTACCTCTCTACAACCTACCTTACCTTACCTTACCTTCCCTGGGCCTTGTCTATTTTGCCCGTGACGACAAAGCGAATGGAACGAAGCTTCACTTTCCCCTTCGGCTTCCGCTTCTAACCTGGTCACACCTTTCTCTCCCACTTCACTTCCACCGACTGACTCCCAGTCTTCCATCTCACCCACCCAACCCAACTAACCAAGACGAACTGTTTGGTCAAAGTCAACAACCGGGTGCCCTCACTTCCCATCGAGTACGACGACGACGCTACTAACTAGCCTTTCATTCTCGCGGTGCACTACGCTCCCAAAGCTAGCACTCGTGTTACTTTCACTTTCCTCTCCTTAGGTTGGAGTCCCATCCTGTCCTCGACAATCGTTGACGGCCTCTGTTTTTCTCGCACGTCACTCCAGCTTTAGATCATCTCTAAGCCGCGACCCTGGGACCCAACGACTTGTTTCTTATCCCCAGTGGAGGACGGACTCAATCAACCAAGCATTCTTGCCGGCCCATTCTGCCGCGTCACTCCGTCTTCAACCCGACCTGGAAACCCTGCAGTGGAAATCCGAGGCCGATTGCTAGCTGAAGCCCCATTTTTGCCGCCATTCACGACCTGACCCTCTGCCTCGATTTGTCCTGTCGTCCGCACCCCGACCCCGGATTTCGTCAAGAGTCGAGAGCCCATACTTCGAATCCACGACCCAAACCCCGCCGACTGCCTGACTATAGGCCGCCATTACTTTCAGCCCGCCTGACTACAGCAAGTTGGCTTGGACATCATTCATCCAGAGGCCGCCGCTCTCTTCACCTGCAACCTCCATTCCCGCCTTCCTCGTCCGAGCTCCTGCCTCCTCCTCGTCGGATGCCGAAACCACACAACCCGATTACCTAGGTCATCCGTATCCCACGACTCCTACCCGGTTGCCGTCGCTCGGCCCGACCGTTCAGTCATTCGTACCGCCGGAACCGTGTCGAAACCACCGACAGACGCTTTTGTTCCCACCGCCTAGGGAACTTTGTCTCGTCACTCTCTGCTGCAACACCACCACTAGTCGATAGGCGACTGACCGCCATCGGCTTTCTGCGGCCATGGCCGCCAACATGCCGCCGAGGGCCCAGGCCGGGCAAATGATGCAGCCTAGCGCGATGCAAGTCACTCAAGCCGTTTTATCTAGGCTGAACTCTCAGCCTACGCCAGCGACTGGCTGGCAGGCTACACACATACAGTTGGCGGAACGCGTCCAAAAGGCGTCAGCTTTGTACGCAGCTCAGCCATTACCCGCAAAAAACAAGTTTAGAGGCTCTGACATTCACTCCAGGGCTACCAACCTTAAGTTGGCTGGGCAAGTCGAGAGCTGGCAAGAGGCGGTGAATCATGCGATTGAATTCGAACGACGGGTCTTTATGCAGTCCCCGGATAAGGTGAGAAGCCCCCCTCTGCATCATCAAACCGTGTTAGCTAACTCAACTGACCAAACTCAGCCGATGTACGAGAATCTGATCAATCAGCGATTTCAACAACTTGTAGAACAGCGGCAGGCTCGTGCTCCTCTCCTCCAACAACAAATGCAAGCCAACGCGATGAGGCAGGCTCAGATGGCCCAGCAACAGCATCAACTTCAACAGCAGCAGCAGCAGCAGCAGCAGCAGCAACAGCAACGTCAACACCAACAGCAGCAGCAGCACCAACAACAGCAACAACAACAACAAATGATGATGAGCCAGATGGCTATGCAAAGGGGAATGGCGCAGCCAGGCTTTCATCCCCAGCAGCACCCAGCTCAAGTTACCACAATGCCGCATTCCCAACCGTTGCCCATTGGTGTCCCTAACCCTCAAATGATGCACGCTCGGTTAGGTCAGATTGTCATGCAAATGATTCAAGCTCTTCCTACCGCGTTGGTTGAGCTACACGACGTTCAACGCTTAACCGAACGGGATAGGCCAATTATCAAGCAGCTCGCTTTGAAAAGACTCGCTACCATTCCTGAGCCCCTAAGAGACTCAATGCGGGAAAGGGTCATGTCACAACTGGCTCCACAGCACGCGCAACAGATTCGAACATTGGGATTGGACCCGTTGATGATCTTCTACGAGCATCAAAGCTTAATGCTGGTGCGTCGTAACATGGCTGCTCAGCGTCAAGGCATCGAGACCACATCCTCAACAAGTTCCTCAACCGCACAACCAAGTCAACCCTGCCTTGATGAATCCCCTGGGCCAGTCTCATGGTGTTACCGATGGGCAGCTCCTCCCGCCCAACCTAGAGGCGATCCGAAACGAGCAGCAAATGGGCATGCGTGCCCAGGAAGCCGGCCAAGTTGTCGTTCCGGCAAGTTCAGGTCCCGGGGCCCCCGGACGCAATGACACCCCGGGCCCCATGATCAACCATATGCACCCGGCGGGTGCTCAGCAAGGACCAAATCAAACGCCGCGGCCACCGCCTGGATTCCACCCCCAACAGGTCTCGATGGAAACGATGAACCCCGCACAGGCACAGGTACCGATAAGGGGACAAGGACCGAACCGACATCCTCAAGGGCAGCCTGTAGGGCTTGGAGCACTTCCCCCAGCCTCACAGAGTCCGGCGATCAACAATATGGCGGTACCAATGCAACCGTCCCCCGCCCCCATGGCCCCCGGGGTGAGAACAACGCTGAACCCGTCGTTTAACCACCACGCGAACCCGAGGCCGCCATCAATGCAGGGTAACATCAACGCCAGCAATCCTGCAATGGCCGCGATGCTGGGTAATCTGAACCCGAACAGTGGTAGTATGCCTGGAGGCTTGCCTGAAAGCCAGATCAAGGACATGATGGCCAGGTGGGAACAGCAGAGGACCTCTACGGGCACCCCTCAACAATTACCCAAGCATCCTCAAGTGTCCGGGATGCCAGCTCAATCTCAACTGATGAACCCCAACCAACCGGTGAACATTGGAAACGCTCAGCAGACCGCCGGTGTGATGCCGCCTGGTATGCAGCCAGGTCCTGGTCAACCACAGCTAAACGGTCCGCAGAACGCACAAACTGCGACGATGTTCAACAACAACCCTCGCGCTTTACAGGTGGTCGACAGTTGGGATATTCCCGCAAACGCGATCAATATGTTGCGAGCAATCCTACAGCCCTTGGTCTTGCCTCCAAATGTGAAAAAATGGATTCATCTGAAGGCTTGGCAGCAGACCGCAGGCCTACCTCCTCATGTTCAGGACAAGGTCACCCAGGTGCTGAGTAGTCACCAAAACCAGCAGTTTCATCACATAATGCAACAAAGGCGAGCACAGGCTGCTGCCGCGGGCGGAGCTCCGCAGAACCCTAGCGGGTCCGGCCCTTCACAGCAACCTAACGGAATGCCGCTCATACCCCCAAAGACAAACGTTCCTCCTCAAGTGCTTCAGATCTCCCCGCAGGAACTGGAGGCGGCCCGCCAGAGGTTTCCAGGCGTACCGGATCAGGCGCTTCAAGGTCTGATACGGAAAAGCAAGTATGAGAATTTTGCGAGGAAGCTGCAGGCAATGAACAATGGTGCGGGTGGGGTAAACCAGAAGCCGATGGTGCAAATTCCCCCCGCAGGGTCTAATCAACCAAATACGGTCTCTGCTGGACCAGCGGCGCAAACACACGCTCAGTATGCCACGCAAGCCGGTATGCAGGTCCCAGGCCCATCACAGCTGCCCCCATCGTCGCAGCAGCCACAACAACCACAAGGACAAGCACAGGCGCAAGCACAACCACAACCGGCACCACCAGCACAGCATCAACAACAGCAGCAA